CCAGTTAGCAACCCCACGTTTAGAGTCCCTATTCGAACTAGCTTCTTTGGCCGAGGCCGTTCACTCCTCGGTAGCCCTCGCATACTGACCACAGAACTCGGGCGGGGGTTCTGCGCGCCACTTCCGGGTGACGTCCTAGCTTTATCACTGATTCTTTTGCGACTTTTAGACATGTTGGTGTGACTGGGGTCTTCATCAGCCGGCCTGTCAACCTGGGCCTGACGCTGGTACTAGAACCATTTTTGCAATTTTTGCAAGGCATGGTTAAGGGATCGAACTCGCGGTTTTCAGAGGTGCAGACATGAGTCTAACCTCTTAACCACTCGGCTATCCCTGCCTGGCGAATGGCTGCTTATCGGTGATTATGATAATGGTTATATTTTTGATCAATTGGTTTTTGAAAAGATAAAACTCGATGAGAAGAAAGTGTCGAAATTCAGGACAGGAATATGGGACAACCCAATAATTCCGTTTTGAATGTGGAGGGAGGACGACTTGTTACGACACTCCTCTTTGTACCAAACCTTATTTCACATAAATCGTGGGCGGTTTTCTGATAAAAAGAATCTAGTTGAACTCACCAAATTGAAGTCGTAACAACATAGTTGACATCTGTCATCCGAAGCGAAACCAGTGTCCTGGTCAATAGCAGGACAGTCGCACACCATCAAATGGGGCGCAAACCGCGCACATGGATTTTCACAAGAATTGTCCACGCATATTTTTTCCATCCTGAATTGCTCTCGTTAACATGAAGATAAGCGAATGATATTAACTGAAAAAACAAAGTTGTGCATCGATCTGCCCTGCCAAATGTCCCTACTCTTGATTTTCTCATGAATGTCTACTTGTTTGAGTACTTCTTTGGCACAGCTTTTTCTCGCTTCACAAAACGTATCCACCATGAAAACCTTCCGTTTCCTCGTCCATAAGCGAAAATCGGGATGTAGCTGTACCCGTAAGTTCGCTTAATGTCGTACTTGCCGATCCGCGTGCCACTCGCACTTCTCAGAAGGAGGAAGCACTTAAGGTCAGGGCACTTATCTTAGCCAGATTGCTGAAGAGGAGAATTGCGGCCTATATCAGTCGGTTCCTACTGTCATAGGTAATTATGTGTGCAGTCCTGATCGCTACGGAAAAAGTTTACCACAAGTTGTTCAAGTTGCCATTTATCGAAAGGCAAACGCCACTACGTAGCCAGATTCGTTTACTAGACTGAACGATGTGCGTGGTGAAATGGGACTTTTTCTGAGCAGAACGACTACAGGATCCAACTGACAGCGAGTGCGCCGATGGAAAATTGGTGGGAAAAGTGGCTCTTGAAGAATGATGGAGCGCTAAAAGATCGCAACTCCTAAAGTTTGACATGGCTGAGACGATACATGGCGAATACCAACTGCACCTCCTCCTTTCGTGTGACGACAGGTTTTTCCTGGATTGAAGTGTTAACAGAATAGGTTTCCAGGGAGAAAAAAATAGGTAAGAGCAAGTCAACATTAGTTTTGGAATGACGGAAATGCCCAGAGGAAACTCTTCCCAACACCTCCTTCTCCATCGGGGAATTTGGGGAGAAGGGTCTGCGGCGTACTTGGGAAGAAAGTTTTTCATTTTCTTCCTCTTTTCCTGAACACTCCCCACTCTCACCTCTCACTTTGTTCTTTAACCTCCCTTTAACTTGGTCCAAATCACGCGCAATTTCACTGCGTTGCAATTTTTCAATGTTTTTCCACATGAGTCGCTTTTTTTCATAATCCAAAAGCGGTTTTTTTTTCGTGATCATATATAAAAGAACAATCTATCACAGCCAAATAGCTTCGTTGAGCGAAGACTAAATCCAACGGGGAAACTCGGGATGGCTGGATAATTATTAACAATATTCGACCTCTTCTGAAAAACGTAGTGAGGATAATCTCACACATGTGACATGAGCTGCATTAGGCCGATGTCAGACTTTGCGAATCGCGCGATTCGCTAGCGTCTGCGGTCGCGTCGCGGCCAGTGAATCACTCAATTGGCTGGTACCGCAACGCGACCGCGCGACGCTAGCTAGCGAATCGCGCGATTCGCAAAGTCTGACATCGGCCTTACGCATGTGCATACGCGGCGATGCGCAAATATCACATTGGGTCATTTTATAGAATTTCCTCACAGGTAACATTTATCTCACTACAGTACTCATGTATTTCGCATAGGATCCACAGAAATTTAACTACAAAAGTCCCCATTGCACTCAATATAGTTTTTTAAGCAAAAACGCATTGTATTATATATAAGATGTCCACAAACTTGCGGTCACAGAATGATCCAGGTTGTCGCGTGTGACAGATGGAATTTGAACATCTTCCTGTTATACAAAGTCTGGCTGGGTCGGTGTCATCGCAAGGCAATCCCTCTAAATGAGCTCCGTGCATTCGACATCGAGAGCATGCCTCGCGTTCCCAACGTTCGCCGTTCGTCCTGAAATAATCATAAGAATTCGAAAATAACTATTGCACTTTGTATTTTGGCTGCGGACGACGTACGTTTTCATGTTACGCACGCGACAACACGCATTGAAATCGTTTTATTATATTCACTTGCCATTTTTTCATATTCCCGAGGCAAAAACGAATTTGTAAACTGGGAATAACCAACAGAATTATTATTATTGGGTTGACTCCATAATTTCTGGCCGAATTTCAACACTTTGATTTCTTCAAGTTTTATCTTTCCTAAAAAACAATTGATCAAAAATATAACCACCATCATAATCACTGATATGCACCCATTTGCTAGGGAGATGGAATAATGTCAGGGCTATACGACAGATGTGGTGTCGTGGTCCAGCCAGTTTCCCTCGAAACGTGGCGAGTTATCTTTGCAATGTGATTTCGGGCGTTCATTCGGAGGAAGGAGATTTTGAGACGTTTCGAACCGTTCTCCCGCACTGCTGCGGCCAACTTCGGGAGTTATTCCATGGTTACCTTCGCAATGCTTGTCTGCATAAGTGAAATGGTTCTCAAAACGGGATACCCAGCGAATCCAACAAATGGGGGTAATATCCTCTGATGAAAGAGCTCGGGCT